GGTTGAGCGCGACCACCGGCCGGCGCCGCACCACCACCGAGGAAGGCAACACGAATTAGAGACGAGGGTTTGCGGAGAGGATTTGGGGATTTTCGGATGAGAGAGAAAATTTTTGTTATGTTAGTGATGGGGAATATTATTTGACTATTTAGAAAATACTTGAATCCTACTTAATCTTGAAGCCAGTGGTTCAGAAATAGGAACAAAATACAAAATAGAAGCTTTAAGAAAATTAGCAAAAAATCTATTAAGAGAATTATTAGGAATTACAGGGCAAGAATCAAAAGTAACACAAAAAGATAAGGTATTTAATTTCTAACTAACATGAAGTTAAGCAATATATGTTATATCGAAAATTACTTCTGTCAAGTAAGAGAATTTTTTTATAAAATTAAGGATCGATAATAGAAATAGTTGAAAATAAACTTAAATATGAAATGAATAAATATATTCAAAAGAAAATTAATGAACAAGAGAAGAAAAAACTCTAGGAGATCTAGAAAAGTATGCGAAAGAATATAGAGATGAACTTTGTATAAGAAAAATAAAACACCATGAAATGACTAAAGTCGATTCAAGATGTTGTAAACAATTAGAAAATGTACCACAAGAATTTGGTTGTTATGAACCCTATAGAAAGAAAAGATATTATAAATACAATAAGTTTAATAGACGATATAGACCAAGAAGATATAAGACATTTAAAAAACCATGGAAACCAAAATACAAAGGGAAGTTTTGAAAACAAGAAAAATACTTAGGAAAACCAAAATATTGTCCTAAAGGAAAAAAAAATAAAAAATTGCAGATGTTGAAAATGTCAAGAAATAGGGCACTACGCAAATGAATGTCCTAAAAACATACCAGAAAAACAAAGGAAGTTAAATATGATATTGTCTTTAGGTTATGAACCTATATAAGAAGAATATGAAGAAGGTGAACTATTAGATTTTGATATATATGATTTAGAATCAGAAACAGATAGTAATTTGGAATTATCTGAATTAGAAGATAAGTAAGAGCAGTTCATTTATAAAAGTTGAATTATTTAACAAATTCCTATTAGCATATATAGACACAGGTGCAACAATATGTCTAGCAAAAGAATCTATATTACCTAGTAAATATTGAAAGAAATTAGACAAACCAATTATAGTGAGAATTGCAAATAATAAGACAATAAGTATTTATTGTAGAGCAACAAATTTAGTATTATTAATAGAAGAAAAAACGATTTTCTTTACCAAGTCTTTATAAATAAAATACAGGTTTAACATTAATAATTGGAAATAATTTTTTTAAGTTATACAGTCCATTTATTCAAAGATTAAATAGTATAAGCCTTAGATGTCCACAACTAGATACACAGTTTAGTAAAATAATTACTACAAAAAATTTTAACACGTCTTCTTTCATATGGGGGGAGATATTAAGTAAAGTTTCACTTCAAATTTATAAAGTAATAAGTATAACATTAGAAGAACATGTAAATCAGTTATTATAACACATATGTAGTAAAAAACCATTAGATCCAAATAAAAACACAAATAGCATGATAGTAAAAATCGAACTAACAGATCCTTGCAAATGAATTACATAGTGCACTAGCACTATTTAGTTGGAAACACATAGTGCACCAGCATTTTATGTAGAAAATCACAATGAATTAAAAAGATGGAAAAGTATAATGGTTATAAATTACAAAGATTGTGTTTTTAGTTGAATCAAAAAGAAAAATGGTATAGTACTTAGATTCTAAATCAAGACACTGGCAGTTAAGATTACATGAAGAAACTAAACATTTAACAACATTTAGTTGTCCACCTCAAAACCACGATGAATACAATATAATACCATTTGGACTTAAACAAGCACCTAGTATATATCAACGAATTATGGTTAAAAATCTAAAAGGATTAGAATCAGTAAGTCTTGCTTATATAGATCATATAATTGTATTTACACAGGGATCATAAGAAAATAATTTAAAAGAACTTGCAAAGGTTTTAATACAGTTCGTAAATAAAGGAGTTATTTTAAGTAAAGAAAAAGCAAAAATTTGCAACACCGAAACAAAATTTTGGGATGAAAACAATCAAAGGAGGCTACATCGAATCTCAAATACATCTACTTGGAAAAATACATCAGTTTACAGATCAACTTCAAATCAGAAATCAAATTCAAAAATTCCTTGGATGTTTAACATATAATGGAGAAAAATGTTTTATAAAAAGTCTTGCAAAAGAAAGAAAGTTACTGCAAAAAGTGATTTCAGAAAAAGTACCATGGAAATGGACAGATAATGCAACTACAGCACTACAGTTGTTGTAGCAAATTATTTTTATTTTTACCGAGTACCGAATCAAAAGATTCGTTCCCCGGGTCGATCTCTCGAGGAAGACGGTTCGGAATTTAGCGTTGGTATTAATCACACACGAAAAGAAAATAAATCCTAAACACTCTAATCAAGGATGATTTGGAGAAATATCTAAAACTAATGAGAACTAGGAAAA